CTTTCTTATAAACGGTTTATATTTCTTCGTTCTTGGTAGGTACTTAGGGGCTGATATTTTTATCTGGGTTAGGAGATTAGGTGTGCCGGTTATTCCATGGATTAATTTGTATAGAAATTTTTTTTTTAAATGTTAAGCAATACTCTTCCTACCTTCTGAAGCCCTTTTATTTTGGATATTGTTTAATAGCGTTCTAGTGAATTACGTCCTAGCTTGGATGCCACTAGGTCATCATCATCTATGATCACCAAAGACTATTCTAACGCATCAACTTTTAATTCTTATCTATGGAGGTGCGTCGCGTTCACTGCGTAGTATTTATAGGCATTATTACTGGTGGTAGGACCTCTTGTGAGTCTGCGCGGGTAGGTACCACCACCCTGCCTATTTCTGCCATGAAGCATTAATGCGTTTCGGCTTGAAGGTTGGGGCAGCCGTTGTAACTATACTTGAGACCTTAGAACTTATATCTCAAGGTGGGTGGCGCATTTACGTCGTAGATGTCCATGAGCTCCAGTAACCACTTAACACCAGGTGGGCTGTGTGCTCGTGCACCCACCTAAGCAATAAAAAAAATTTTTTTACGCCAATAGCAGGTGGACGAGCCAATATCTTCCTTTGTATACAAATAAAAAAAAATTAGCATGTGCCCCTCTCATATCGGCATATCTGACGGCATATGTAGCAAGCGAACGGTGAAAGTGGTCATCGTTTTAATTTCGTTGCAAAACAGACTTTACGTGTATGCCGGAATGTGCATTTTTCAAAATCACTTGGCGATATCATAATATTTAAATGCTATTGTATAACAAGGCGTAAAACGAATGGACGAACTGTGTTTGTGACGTGCTCTCTGGTTTTGTAACATACAAAACCGAACGGCATAGACATCTGTCTGTCGCATAACGGCACCAGTTGACCGCAGCTCATTTTCGACCAATTTCGTGCGGATACATTGACATCCGATATGTAATTTTTTTTTCTTACATATGTGGATGAGCTCACGGCCATAGACAGCCCATAGACATTTACAACGTAAATACCTCTACCCACCTTGAGACATGAGTTGTAAACTCTCACTTTTAACAGTACCTACAACGGCTGACCCGCCCTTTAAACTAAAACGTATTACTGCTTCATGGCAGAAATAGGCAGGGTGGTTCATACCCGTGCGGGCTCACAAGACGTCCTACCAACAGTAAGCATGTATGTTTATGCTTCTTCTATACTTTGTGACGTCTACGGATTTCGGTAATCGCTTATCATCTATTGGTCCGTGAGTTTGTTTGCCAACTAGTGGCATAGACAATAGGTATGAAGCACATCTACGATGCTTCGTAAAGTCGTGGAAATATGTCGTGACATACAACCAGACTTTTTATTAACGCGTTGATAATTATACACATACTAGCTGTATCCGCCCGCTTCGCTAGGCATTTAAAATTAACATTATTATTTCTCACCCCCACAAAGATTCTTATCATTAACGCCTCCGCAACTGGTGTAGGGAGCCCAACACTCATATAAATATTAGCCTAAACATGAAGTATTTTTTACATGGACTAGAGGTCCCGCAGTAGTCGAAATTCGACTATAATTAATGGGAATTGTAAGTTTGTACACTATTAAGATTGTATTTTATACTTCTATAATCACAAATTTCGCCAAGACTACACTATAAAAAATATTAACAAAGACAAATAATATTTAATCTTTCTCAATTTGACAACAGACGTCAAGAACAAAAGCTTGACAATAAATAGTATGCATGCGTGTGTGCGTCAAATACATGGTGCATAGTGTGTGTAATGTTTCCTTTATCGATTTAATGTATCTTTTATGCATTATTTAAAAAAAAAATTAGCGTTGTGCACTTCTTCTCTATATTCTCTATAAGTGTGGAACATTTCATACTCCTCCGTCCGCGCAATTTTCGTAAAAAGGGATACAAAGTTTTTGCTTAACGTATTATTTTACATGGATACCAAGTATCAAGTCAATCGGATGCACGGTTCAGTACCTAGTCATAACGGAACATCCGTAAAAACCACTGTAGATTTATATATTAGTATAGATAATTATTTGTGTTAATCTAATAGGTTAAACAGCTTGAACCATCATTACGTTATTTCAAACTACATATTACAAGACGTTTCGTAGGAAACATAATACGATCTTCGTTTTGTAACCGCGTCCGTAACCAGTTATACCTATTTAAGTGTCATGACTTTCACGAAATGTATCGTATGACGGCAATTCACAAACGAGTTTTAAATTGTGATAAAAAATACATCCACACACATTATTGTAGGTTTTTTTTTTATGGAGGGAAGTATTACTGGTGGCCCGAAGGCCTTTCCAGTTTCACCAGGACATGTGATCGGGTACGGACTTTGAGGGGTGGGATTTGCTAGCAGCTGTCCGAGCGCTTCCAAAGGAGACCTAACAACTAAAGGGTAAATGCTTCGCGACTGAATCTACTACCCGACCCACTGAGTAGATCCGACCAGAAACTCATCGCACTATTACTACAGGTTTCAAGTTATACTGGACTATAGGTAATGCGACTATGCTGGGGCTTTTTTATGATTGAAATAATACTGGTGGCCCGGAGGCCTTTTCAGTTTCACCAGGACAGGTGGGCGAGCAAAGGCTCAGCCAGGAGGGGTGGGATTTGCTAACAGCTGTCCGAGCGCCTTCGAAGGAGACCTAACAACTAAAGAGCAATTGCTTCGCGAATGAATCTACTACCTGATCGGAATTGTATGCCGGTGTTAAAATCTTGCAGATAGGCACTAAGTTATCTTATAAAATACGTACCTACTTGGCACATGTCTATGAATGACTTCATAATAAAGCGGACGGTGACCACTCACCATCAGGAGGACCTTATGTTTGTGTTAAATAAAAAAACAACAGCCGTCGGCTCTGTTAAATTCTGGTTCGGTTTCCACGTGGACCGGATGCTTGGGAGCTAACGACATTTTTTTTAGCTCGATTTCGATTGTCCCATCAACGTCCGAAAAGAGATGATCGCAGGTGGATTAAGTCGTAATGGGAAATCGGAAGTGCCGATACGAGGTAAAGGGCAAGGAGAAAGTCAACAAATTGACTCATCATTGAATCACAAAAGTATTCACATAAAATACTTCAATCGCGGACTCCCGCGAATATACCAAGAACTATAAAGGTCTTAAATCGTATCGGATAACTTTGATTTCTGGAAACTTCTTTTAAGGTTTAATATCGCGTTTTCTACTATCATTATATTATTTCGCGACGCAGCGAGTACTTTAGGTTCCGTGGTCACAGACTTCGATGATACTTTCTTTTACAAATTTTTAAATTCTAAGTTTGTTAAAGTTTACAAAGTAAGGAAATCATGGAAATTTCAAGCTTCTCTCTCAGTCAAGGCTATTAAAGGACGTAAGCCATAGTATACTTCCCATTGACCTTTGACCTAGAAAAATTAATATTGGCACGAGGCAGTCTTATAGCATAGCACAAGTAAAGAAAATGTTTAGAAATGTTATTATATATATTATGTATATTAGGCACATGCATATATTTTAGTCCTTTATAAACCTAAGTCAGTAGATAAAGTTACGTTATACAAAGTACGACCGCAAAGTTAACATGTTTTTTTTAAGTTAACATTATTCATCTTTTACATAAAAGATGAATGCAAAAAGTGTTATTATTGATTGATACGTGTTAAGTGGTTACTAGAGCCCATAGACATCTACAACGTAAATGCCGCCACCCGCCTTGAGATATGATTCCAAGGTCTCAGTATAGTTACAACGGCTGCCCGCCCTTCAAACCGAAACGCGTTACTGCTTCACGGCAGAAATAGGCAGGGTGGTAGTACCTACCCGTGCGGACTCACAAGATGTCCTACCACCAGTAAAAAAGCCTGTACATTATTAAATAAACAAGCAACTAAAAACGAGTTTATAAAAATTATGCAACAGAATATTCACGGAAATAGAGTTATCCAATTTGTGCAGCCTCAAAATATAGGTCAAGTTTAAGCTTATTGAGGGCGGGTGCATTATTTATTTTTATTAAGTTCCGTAGTCACATTTGGACAGAAGCCACGGAAACTGGATTTCCTAACTAACAATCTATTCATGTATTCTTTTATTCATGGGGACTATCTCAGAAAGACCATCATACGTAATATTAGCGGTAAATTTATGAAAGAAAGAAAAATTAGGTGTATGAAGCCTTTGTTTTCCTTTTTCTGGAATGTAGTCTGCCATCTGCGTACCAACTGTGGTGAATGATGATTGCCATCACTCAAAGACAGTGGAAATAATAAGGGCACAGTCAATGCTATGACAAGTCCTTCTTCAAACTAGCTGGTGGAGATTACGTTACGGTAGACAGCAGCTTAGCTCTGATCCTGGCATTGCTGATATCCATGAACGACGGTAACTACTCACCACCAGGTGGGCCCTGTAATAAAAAAAAGTCTACATTCTACTGTGTTTAACATTAAGATCTTGTGGTCTAGCTGTAGTTTAATCAAGGGTATAGCGTCAGTATTGCATAGATGGGTGGACGAGCTCACAGCCCACCTGATGTTAAGTGGTTACTGGAGCCCATAGAAATCTACAACGTAGACGCGCCACCCACCTTGAGATACAAGTTCTAAAGTCTCAGTATAGTTACAACTGCTGCCCCACCCTTCAAACCGAAACGCATTACTGCTTCACGGTATAAATAAGCAGGGCGGTGGTACCTATCCGCGCGGACTCACTAGTGGTCCTACCACCAGTAAAAAAGTCTGGATACTTTAAGTTATCTCAAAGTCAGACATACATAATGTAACGTATTATCACACTACGTTTATGAGAGGTCACATATTGCAGAGTCATTAACTATGTGTTTACAAATGCATTCATATTCCAGAACCCCAGCATTTATAAGCCACAAATATTTTTAAGCTGTTCCTCTACTATTTGAAGCTAATAACAACTGATTCTAATTTTCAGGTGGCATGGCTTCCTTTCCGGTAATGATCAACAGTGGAGTACACGTAGTGATGTACTGCTACTATTTACTGTCAGCTGACGGCAGCCCACGGGTTAAGGCATATCTGCACAGGTACAAGAAATGGTTGACAATTATACAAATGGTAAGCATAGCTTTTGGAAGCATAAACAATTTTTAATGTAGCTATAGTTTCTCTTGTACTCTCTTAGGCATCTTGCATTAAAGTCAACAACAAAATGATGTTTTCTGTATTTTTCTAGTCAAATATTACATGTCTTTTCATTCATTACATTCATACTTTTAGAATGTCAATCACAGGTTTAGTTAACAACTAGAGGAATGGATTTAATTTATATCAGCATATGACACACTGCTCTATTAGCAGTTACAAAATGAGAGTTCTATCCTTACTGCGACAAACCATAGATATATAACAGCGGTCACTATTTAGGATTTCAAGATTGTTGTTGAATTTGTCAAATTGTTGACTCATTGTTGTCAAATTGTTGACTCATTTTACCAAATTACGTTTGATTTACTACGACAAATTGAGTACACTCTAAGTGTTTTTCAATCTTGCTATCTAAGCTAAATATCTAGTTTGTTAACATGTTTTTGATGATGAAAAAAATATTTCCATCTTCCAATAGTTTTACTGGTTTAATTACATTTACAGGTTCAATTTACAATCTTATTAGCACACGCATTGCAGGCATTCCTACCAAGCTGCCCGGCCCCACTCACTATAGCATATATGTATTTGCCTAATGTACTAATTGTATATTACATGTTCTATGAATTTTTTAAAAAGAATTACAGTGAAAATCATAAAATTAGTAAATAATGTTACGGCTAGTTGATATGTTTCAACCTTAGATTTGTGTTTAATTTTTATCAACAATTAACTAAATTCAGAAAATTAGCACTTAAATAAATAAAATTATGCAGTAACTGTTGTTTTCTTGTTTCCTTGTTGAGATGGATATTACCTAAATGTTTTTAATAAACAAGTGGTACCCTTAAGAATGCTTCCACCTATCAATACGGTTTCTAACAAAAAAACTTTCTATGGCTGATGATATAACAAATATATAAACTGTACAGTGGCAAGTTCATCCTAATCAAAAATACAGAGTATTATTTTGGGGTGTTCATTTAAGAACAACAACAATAAAATAAAACAAGAATTCTATTATTATAAGTTTTGTAACAAAAGTATGTCTTCGGTTCGTGAGATTAATCTGATCAGATGATGTTCAAGGCATATTGGGGGTCAAAACACACTATTGCAACACAAATATTATTTCCCTTATTCCTAATTTAATAATATTTTTAAGATGAATTGACAAATTAATTATTCTACTCGTACATACATACTTTGGAGTTCATATTCCATGGTAACATAGATAGTTAAAGTGTTTTTGTTGTCTTAGAAGCAGGAACATTCATCTTTGTTTATTTTCCATTAATAAGAGTTAATGTCATCAATCAGTTTAAGTTTTACAATAATAAATTTTGATTCACACTGTCAGCTGTAACTTTTTACTTTTAAAACTTATCTATTTGGACAAAATTTAGATTTTGTTACAATTTTGATACGACGAACAAGCAAGAGTATTCTTTAATTTATTATTGTACGATTGCAGGTGTTAATATAAATATTTATTTAGCGCGAATCTTTTCTAAAGAAACCGATGATTTACAGCGATAAAAAGAAATGATACGTCACTTACCGTATAATAAGAAAGGAGACCAGCATTCTCGTCGAGCACGAACCAACGGTACTGCCATCCTTTCATAACATTGGTCCATTTACTAAGAGAGCCCTCCATCATTATTATAAGTCAATGTTATCAAACAAAAGTCATGAAAAGTTGAAAATAAACTGAAAATTTAACACTGCGGCACAACCTCTTTACCGTAAATAATCCATATGTTTGACTTTGACACCTGTCAAGTGTCAGTAATGCTTTGACTTAGCTTTGTTTTGTCCATTTGTCAGGCAAAAGAAACGTAGTCTGTGGAACGAAGTCTTTTATTTTAAAAGCTGTAACTACATTGTGAAACTTTCACAAATAAAATCAAACGGAATGAACTCAATTGAAATGAAATCAATTAAAGAAATATCAGTTAAGAATCTGAGAAACATGAATAGTATGGCCTCTATTGCTTAATAGCAATTTTGTTTTGATTTCTCCACACTAGAAACACGGATATTAAACAGCTGGTAGCTCATATTCATAATATGTTTAAGTTCGAATAAATAATCGTTAACAAACGAACGCATTTTTCTCAAAGTTGTATACACTCAAATTATGCAGACCGCAATAAAAATGACATTGTCACATAGTGTAAATCGATAAAGACTATTAGAGTCACTAAAGAAGTTCATGGCTCTCCCGATGTAGACCAAAGCCAAAAGATATCATAATTTATGTGCCTCCATGAAATATGAGGTTTGAAATCTCAAACGTATTATTTAATTGCTGTCGTATCCTTCAAATTGTTTCATCCTGTCTGTCATTAGGTACTGTTTAGTAATAGAGAGACGGGATAGTTGTACCTAATCAACGAAAAGAAAATGAATTTCAGTAAACTGAAAATAAAATATCAAATCATTTTAAAGGGCAGTTACTTTATATTGTACAACTGTCATCACTTGTGTATAAAGCTATATCTAATTAATAAAATTAGCATCGCGATTTTTAATTTAGTAATACTATTATTAAAACTATTTACAAAATTCGAACATCTTATCATACTACGTAAGTCAGTGTCGTCTTAATGATCGGCCGTGTTTCGTTTTACTATAACCTGACGAAATTAAAACTTTGCTGTTTTCCTTGTCCTTGTCTATACTAACCCCTGATAAATCTACAAATAATGGCACATTTTCCGAACCCTCAGCAGCGTTATCGTCTTTTCTGTTAAAATTTTCCGGTATCCCTTCACCTTCGATTGCCAAACTCTCAATATCTTTACTCAATGAGTTATTTTCAGCAGCTTCCACAAAAGCGTTTGATAGCTCCCCACTTAATTTATTGATGTTGCCCGATGTGATGTCGTACATGTAGATTTCTTTATCTGCTGTAGATTCATCGTTCCTGTAAACCATAAGAAAGAATTCTGAGTAAAAAGACTTTTAATGTGTAATTTCATGAAGTTTATGTCGAGTGCTATTATTCAACAGACTCTTCCCATTATTTTTAATTTTAGTGAGTTCCTGGTTGTAAAATACTTGCAATTTACTGGTCGTAAGTCCTCTTGTGAGTCCGCAAGGGTAGGTACCACCACCCCGCCTGTTTCTGCCGTGAAGCAGTAATGCGTTTCAGTTTGAAGGGTGAGGCAGCCGTTGTAACTATACTGAGACCTTAGAACTTATAGCTCAAGATGGGTGGCGCATTTACGTTGTAGATGTCTATGGAATCCAGTAACCACTTAACACCAGGTGGGCTGTGAGCTCGTCCACCCATCAATGCAATAAATAAAAATAATAATAATAATCCCAACAAGAGACTTTGACTTCACGTCTAAAGTTGAATGGCGGTATGAACGCTATGCTATCTGAGAGCGATTGGTAATCATTTAACATCAGGTAGACAGTGAGCTCTGCTCATCTACTGCGATCAAAACAGTTGTGAAATACTTTGATATTTAATCTTACATGGTAGGTATTAAAAAAAAAACTTACGTCGTTACAAGCAGTACGATGGACTGTAAATCGCTGGCGGTCATCTTTTCCACCTCCAACCACTTTTCAAAATTGTCTTTTGTCGGTCGCTTTAGCAAGTCCTGCAAACTATCTCCAGCAACGAATTTAATGCCCTTCAAATTGTTTTCTGCAGCTCTCTCAGTCCTGGTGTGGTCACCATTGAGGACTTCTGTTTCAACTGGTGCTAATACGACCACTGACGTTATTTTCCTACCTTTGAGTATGTCAGGTAAAGGAAACTGGTTTCCGGCTACTTTTAATGGAAGATACCTATTATATTTTTTATCATTTAACGCGACTGGATCTATCTGGGTGGCGTTCTCTTGTACATAATCATCTGCTATTTTTTGACCTTCAGGAGTTTTCGGATCGAAATGGACAACTTTCATTTCAACTGCTTGTTTCGGCGGGGCAACGTAACTTGGTACATTTTCTGATGCTGCCCCTTCTTGGTCATCTTCCATGTCTTGGTCTATTCTGGATTCAATATGACTTCCATCTGGTTTGACAACAATAGGCCTGTTTTCACTTGATGAAATTTGTTGGGCTCCTCCCGCACTAAAGAAGTTTGCCAGCTGGTCTGGGGGTAGAGAGTCTAATGGTGTATCACCTACTTTGTCATAATCTAGCACACTTATATCTGCGTTGTCTAAGATACCAGATGATAAGAGTTGCTGCCGGAGGTCATCTGGCACTTCATCAGGCAGTTCAATTGTGGGCTTATTTTTCTTTTCTTCTTTTTTTGTTTCAGGAGTTGAGCTGACGGAATTAGCGGTTGATGATACATATTTTGGAGTGGTCGGTCCGATTTCAACTGATCCAGATGTCGATTGGTAGTACTGTGGCGATGATGTGCTCGACACGTAAGTGGGTTGCGGACGAGATCTCTCCTGTATGTATTGTGATCTAGATGAGGTAGCTTCGAATTGTTGGTTGTAGTTGTTTTGCGTTTGTTTATAGAATTGCTGGTGTTGCTGTTGCTGTTCTTGGCTTTGTAGAAGCTGTGCCTGAAGTCGTTGTATCTCTTCTTGTTGTTTCTGGACATTCTGTGCCAACTGCAGCCTAACTTGTTCTTGCTCAGCGTCATATTGATGTTGTTGTTCTTGTTGTTGGCGAATTCGTTGTTGCTGCTGTTGCTGATTGCTTTGCTGCTGCTGGTGTTCTTGGTGATGCTGCCGTTGCTGCTGTTGGTGTTCTTGGTGATGCTGCCGTTGCTGCTGTTGGTATTTTTGTTGCTGTTGATGCTGTTCTTGCTGTTGATAACGTTGTTGTTGTTGTTGTTGATATTGTATGTCAGGTTGGCTTGGTGTTGGAGAAGGTTGGAATGTGCTAAAGTTGTCAAAACTAGGAGACGCTGTTGGACCATTGAGGGTAATATGTTGTTCATATTCTGAAATAGACGGTACCAATTCTCCACCGTTTGGTACAAACTGGTTTACAGTTTGTTGATGCTGTTGTTTTGACTGTTCATGGTAGTTGCTTTGATGGTCTGCTGGTGGTCTTTCCGAGGGATTATGTGTTTGTTGAAAAGGCCTCTCAGTGGGTGAATTTTGAATATGGAACTGGCTTTTTGGGTCTTGTGCTACAGGAAGTTGTTGATGGAAGTTATATAACGTTGGTGAAGATGGTTGCGGGAGGAAGGGATTGGAAGACGGGGGTGATGGGGACACTGATCCGAATTGAAGCGACGGTCTAGAGGATGGCAAAGGGCCGTTATGAAAACTTAGTGGTTGTTGACCTTGATGAAATAATGGACGGCTATCAATCTGAGGAGGTGATGGCTTCAGATTGAAGAAGGGTGAGTTACTGGGACTAGCGGTAAACGATGTTTGACTGTGAACTGTATCTGAAAACTGTTTAGGTGGTTTCTGTTGTGGTAATTGTTGATTGAGAGGTATTATTGGAGGTCTTCTAAAATGCTCTTGGAAATGAGCAGGCGTTGGACTAGGACTTGGTTGTGTGAGATGATTAAGGTTTTGCGTTGGACGAGCTTTTAATGCTTGGTCTTTTTGGGCAGAAACTTGATCAGTAGTTATAGTATGATAGTTTTCTTGTAAATATTTAGCTTCGTCGAAATAATTATTGGGTTTCGATTGGGGTGGGTGGAAAGGTCTTTGAGGTCCTGAGTGGAAACTAGTCCTTGGAGGTCCGTTAACATGTAGTCTGGTTCCAAATGAAGGAGGATTATTCGGACGTGACTGGAATGGAGGATTAGCTCTATGATGTGTTGGTGGGAAAGCGGGTGATACAGGACTTGATGCAGTAGGCCTCTCAAATATTGGGCCAGTGGGACCATTGGCGAAGGCAGGATTCGGAATCAGTGACGATGAAGCTCCAAAGGGATTTCGAGGAATGTGTGATTGTGATCTAAACGTTGAAGCTGAAGGGCTTTGCCTTGGTAGCTGCTGCTCAGTTGGGAAATACTGAGGTTGAAATTGAATCCGACTTTGGGCATGGGAAGACTCAGATTTAAAAGTTGGCACGCTTGGGTTTGGAAGGTAAGCATTCGGTCTTGTAACGCTTTCCACAAATTGTGGCTTAGGAGAAGCTGATCTTTCTAAAGCGGGATGGGTTTGTTGGAGAGGTTGATTGGGAAATGCAATCGCAGGCTGTGGGGCTGTTTCTTCATGATCTTCAGTTTGGCCATCACGTCTATCACTATAGTGCCGACCTTCGTTCCCAAAAGTTATCTTTACACTACTATCACTATGATATACTTCAGATTCAGGTTTAATGATAGCTCTCAAAGTAGTGGTTTTAGCAGGTAAGTAAATGGGTTCAGGAGTGACTGTAACGTATTCGTCGTGGTGATCATCTTCTTCATTTGTGGACGGGGTGATAGCTGGTATAGGTTTTTCGTAAATAACCTTGTCTTTTGAGTGCGGATCTTTGCTATATTTCACATAGAAGACGTGCACTGGTTCCTTCTTTTTCTTCTGTATTGGTTGGGGTTGAGGAGCAGGTAATGTTTCATTGGATTCTTTGATGATAATCTCTATTATTGGTTCGGGTGCTTCGTAATAGTGAGGGTGTGCATCGTGGCTGTATAATGGAGCTGTAGGCAATGATCCGTAAGGCGGACCGAAATTTTCACCAGACTGATCATCGACGTTCAGGATTTTTGATTGCGCGTGAATTTCGTTTTTGTTTTCGACTGCCTCGTCGACTTTGTCGTGATTAGGGTCGTAAAGTGGATCTTTTTGTGAATATTGAACAACAGGCTCCATTTGGACAGCATAGGGCGGAAGCTTGCCTTTGGGCACGCCAGATGACGATCTTTTGTTGTTGGACAAAGACCTAAAGTGGGCCACTCTTGAGTGTGGAAGTACCAAGGAGTATTGTAGATTTTGAGGTGTTCGAATATTGTCTAGTTGTCGTTTGGGTTTCGTTTTAAGCGTCGAATTTTTCGCCCATGTTAGACTGAGCACAGCCACGGCTGTGACCTGAAACAAACAAGAAAGAAACTGTTACAAGAGTTACCAACTTTTGAAAAGGAGCATCGATGACTATATGTTAATAATGCCACTCGAATAAATAAAGTTTTTTTAATGTATGTAATCAAATAATTTAAAGTTTATTATACGTATGTATGCTCTTTATTTACTCTAAGGGTACGTTCTACTTAAAGAAGTCAGCATTTGTTGTCACTAAAACACGATCAAATTCAAATGGTGTCAATATACAAAGTTGTTCGGGAACATATCGACGCTTGAAAGGCAAACATGACTAAGCGATAATAACTGCTTTGTACATAAATGATAGGCAATAACTATATTCGATGCGCAAAAAATTTATATTTCTAGGTCTATTAAAATCATTTCAATCCTACAGCTACTAGCTAGATTCTACTACAGCTAGATTCATTAAAATAAATTTTGTTTTCAGGTAATTCAACTTGAAATTATTCTACTGTAAAGTTCACGCATTGTCGCTTAGTCACGTTTGCCTTTCAAGCGTCGATATACATTTAAGCTAGAGAATGAATATGAATTACCTAACATTACACGGTCATATCACTTAATTAATCACGCAAATTCAATGAATCGATCTTATTGCATTAAATGGATTGTGTTGTTAATTGCATAGGTACCTAGAATTTTCGCAACGTTATCAAATCGAATGTTATTTAATTAAAATGTTATGAAATATTAATTCAATGGTAGGTTCATTCAATTCAAATCTTCAAACTTGACGTATTGTTAGTTAGACGGAACGAAAGTTTAATCGATGAGGCATTCATTAACATAATGCGAAAATAATTATAACATAACATAGGTATTGCAAATAACTAAAAGAAAAGGTAATGCCAATAAACTATTTGGCTACCATTTGAATTGTTTTCGTAATTGTAAATCTTTAATTATGCACATACATTAACTATTATTAGACTGAATTTTAGCTTGACTAATATTAGAAATGTGAAAGATTGTAATAACAGAATATAATAAAAGAGATGGTACTGAATTTGACATCGTTTTTTTTAAATATCGAAACTTTTGAAGTCTTATCTTTAATGATGCATATTTTATTGACTTCCACAACATTGACGATAACGATTGAAGTCGGTTTTCTTTTTCGTGTTAATTTTGTATTATAATCATTTGCCTCAAGGATCTGAGTCTTACATTAATGAAATTCTCAAAGACTCTAGCCACTCGTAACTTGGGGCATTTCAAAAAAATTCCAATGAGAACCTGTTTGTCAGCATTCCAATAAAAATGAGAGTAGGTAGAATATTCGGTGCACGATGGCACCTCACTAGATATTATGACGTAGCTTTTGTTACCAACGACGATGAAATTTTCAAATCAATCCTTCGAACGTGAACGATGTACGAAAATTGAGACATACAAAAAATATTAGAGGTGAATTAATGTTGTCATTAGAATAAAAACAATGCTTATTAAGTGTAGCATATATCGATATAAGAACGTCCCTATCTAACAAGATGAGACAATCTAAAACAATCTTTGATAATCTTTTATGAAAGTTGAGACTGCTGTTATGTTAATGTAAATGAGACATTAATGTTCTTACGAGGCCCATTAAGCGTTTTATTGCTGCTTTCCAACAAAACATGCGTAGGATACAAATTTAAATAAATATTAATAAACTGTCATGTCTTTAATATATCGCCGTCATCTTCGAATTAATGTGTAATAAGGTTATTACTTAAGTTGCTTTAAGTCGGTTTAAAATAATTTATAACTTAAGTAAGACTTACTTACTTAGTTGTTAATAAGTGTGGTCGTGGTCAATATCATCAAAAACAATATGGTTTGTGTGTTGAAGGAGATATCAAACTTAACGTTTCAACATATTTACTTTGGCAACATCGGTGAGAGGCAACAGTAAACAAATGTATATTAAGACGGATTTTATTATGTCGCCACAAAATATAATGTAACGTACGTACAATACATGCAAATTCACACTAAAGATAATGGTAAAGAACGTTGCAATAGAATTATGAAATTTTTAACTTGATTCTGACTGAGAGCTGTTGCACAGATGCATTTAATGTTTTGCAACATTGCCACTGTGTTGGAAATATCTTAAATAAAACCTCTTTTTTTTCTTTTTTTTTTAAAGCTTGACCTGTTTCTATATGTGTAACGGAAACTTTAATGTTATGTTTAGCAACTTCAAGACATCTGATTAACTTGAAAGTTTTCTCACGTGTCAAGAATCGAGAACAATACAATAATATCATAATTATGATTAAAATACATCATTTACCATTTAATATAATATTTAATGTTTTCATTAAAAGTACTGTCCTCTAGAAGACTTTACAAAAACATCTATGAGGTTAATTTTCGATTCGATCTGAATTTGATGAAAAAAAATGATACACATCTTCTGGATCAGTGGACAAAACTTTGAGAAAAATGTAGTTAAAAGTGAACTATTTTTTTTGCGTAGTTATATATATCAACATCTTGTTTAATACGTACTACCTACATATTATTATTATGTATATGTTTGATTGGTGTCAAACATTTAGATTATGTTAAATTTTATCAACATCAAAAGAGCAATAAAGTTAACTTGTCGAAAACTAAAATGAGATTATTGTGATTTGGTTAATTCAAATGGAAGACCGCAGACCCTAACAGTTTGTACCAATATCGTGTTCTGCGGTACGCAAACGCAGGAAGCCGATAATTTGCCTTCCCACCGTGGGAAACGGTGGAAAAACTATAATCGACCGCGGGGAATACATGATTGCAGCTTATTGAATACTGGGTGGTCTTGTTTACACCGCGTATATTGTTCGTTCCGAATTGATGACTTGTTGATGAAGGCAAGTTCAATGGGATGTTTGTAATTGGAGTTCTCGGGTCGATGATTCGATCGTGGTATCACTATATAGTATAAAACAAAGTCGCTTTCTCTGTTTCTATATCTGTCTGTCCATATGTATGCTTATATCTTTAAAACTACGCAACACATTTTGTTGCGGTTTTGGAGCGAAGTTCCTTATCGCGCGTTGTGAAAGGGGGCTAGACGGAAAAAATTCTTACGAAAAGTTTTCACGACACTTTTTAGATCCGTCATTCTGACCAATCAACGTGTAGGCGCTTATCGCGTGACATTGCTCGTATCCGATTGGTCCGCGTAATGAGTACAGTTTCTCGAGATAGCGTTTCAACAATAGTAATTTAGTTCATAGTATTGTTTTTTTCTTCTTCATAATGCCGTAATTTATTATTATAACTTAAAAAAAAAATTACAATTCCTTCACTAATTAATCGAAAGGAACTTCGTTCCATCCGGGTGTCCCTTGACACCTCTGAAGTTTTTTTTTAATAGATAGAGTGATTGAAGAGAAAGGTTTATATGTATAATAACATCCATTAAATAGTGGAGAAATCAATAATAAATTACAGTTTCCGAAGCGAAGCGAGGGCGGGTCGCTAGTTCATCAATATATTAAGTTTATGAATAACGACACAGAACCTTCAGTAGTGATGAAATAACATTATTTTTACTGATGTTAGATTAATAATACCCGCACTATTATCGTTATGTATACATAAATAGGCAAAGACAAAGTAGTTAGCTTTGTCCATTTTTCTTCTGTTGTTCTGTTGATAGACCCATTTCCGTATTTTTTGTTTAGTAGTTATTAAAGATCTTTCTTGAATTTATCTTTAAATTAATACGTGAAGCAAAAACTTTGTATCCCTTTTTACGAAAATTGCGCGGACGGAGGAGTATGAAATTTTCCACACTTGTAGAGAATATAGAGAAGAAGCTAATGCACAATGCTAATATTTTTTTAAATAATCCATAAAAGATACGTTAAGTCAATAAAGAAAACATTACACACACTACATACCATGTATTTGACGCACACACGCATGCATACTATTTATTGTAAAAATTTTGTTCTTGACGTCTGTCGTCAAATTGAGATTATTTATTGTTTGTCTTTGATAATATTTTTTATAGTCTATAGTTTTTATAGTTTTGGCGAAATTTGTGATTATAGAAGTATAAAATACAATCATAATAGTGTACAAACTTACAATTCCAATTAATTATAGTCGAATTTCGACTACTGCGGGACCTATAGTTTTATTGAAATGTCAACAACAATATAAATAACGTTTTACATTAAATGAATTTTAAACTTGAGGTGTCAATGATGATGGTCCGATTTTAATTACCTACTGAGCGCACATTAGGTGTCATAAACACTATTATTGTAATTATTATTGTAATTACTGTAATTGTAAATAGACATGGTTTAACAAAAACCGATTTCAAATAGAAAAAAAAAGATATTCCAAAAACAATATATATACACAAAAAATTATTCATCTATTTGTCGCGCACGTACTTAATGCTTTAAGACTTATATGGCTTTCTCATGGATTATTAGAACTGGACTAAATTGTAATGGGAACACACGGGAAGCGTCAGCTTTCTAATAAAAAAAGAATCATCCAAATCGATTCACCCAGTCAAAAGTTATCAGGTAACAAACATTAAAAAAAAATACAGTCGAATTGAGAACCTCCTCCTTTATTGAAGTCGGTTAAAATAGCTGCAAATCCAATTTATTTGAACTATTTCTCTAGATTTAGAGATTGCGAGGCTAAGAGAACACCATTTTAATGAAATATAATAAAATGAAATATAATAAGAAATAGAAATAAAAATAAATAAGAGGTAGAAATATAATAAAATATGTAATAAAATGAGTGTTAATACGCCAAATGCATGTATGGCGAAACTTCTCTATAAAAACCAAATTTTATTTATCAGATATTCTCAATGTTTTTAATTAATAATTTCGACTTGATTTAGCGATCTGATCGTGTGAATTCAAACAAGAATGGTCTTTATATCACCAATACTATCTCAAAATCTGAAATAAAGATCTGAAAGGAACTATACAATGTCAGTTAGTGTTATTTTTCCTTACAGCGATCATTATCTAGATCGTGTGAAGAAGTAACAGTAGACGTTACATCATATTTAACTTTGACTTTCGTTTTGGATGTCAACGCCGTCCTTAAGCTCAGTGTGAATAAGGTTGAAAATTGTTTTCGTGAATTGAATATTATGGTAGGTACTTTTTTCGTGAGATGCAAATTTCCTTTTTGCATTGTAACATCGTAGCTCTTTTAGTATTTCGTAAGAGTTTTTTTTAATTCTCAGTGGATGAATTCTGTATCATCGTTATGTTATTCTATATCTCTGAATCTACTTATGTATCTTATACTTTTAAATGAGAAATTCTTGTATATTAATATATATGTACATAATCTGAATCTTGGAAACGGCTCTAACGATTTTCATAAAATTTATTATACAGGGGATTTCGGGGGCGATAAATCGATCTAGCTACGATTCATTTTCAGAAAATGTTATTTTATTCGTGTTTTCAATAATCAACTCTTCCCGACATCTATTGTCGAATATTTATACTATTTTTTTAAATTGAGGGTAACTAACCGCTTTAAAGACACAACAAGATGGCGTTATCAAAAAAATAACCGAGCAAAGCTCGGTCATCATCTACCTATAGTATTTTTGACTTGTGCAATGAATCCATTTTGTAATGAATGCACTCTAACAATTACCCTGTCGTAATGTCAGTCACACGTGGATACGAAGAACCATCAATCTTAACATTTGAATATATATATTTTTAAATTTCAATTATTTCACTTTGATCGATAAGAAATTCCTTTTGTAATAAAATCTTTTAGATTATAGTTATGGTGTGTCGGTACACTGGTCGTGGACTCGGGTTATATATTTGAAAATCTACAGTGTATATTGAGGGGATATTTGGTCTAAGGGACATTCCGCTTAAGGGCCTGTACACAAAACCGCGATGCGACGTAGCATCGTAAAAATCTACGACCTCCCACGACGCACCGCAAGAACTTGCGAATTGATTCGCATCGCGCATTCCTGCGATGTTAAAGGATTGTGGAGTTGAAAGTCAATTGTGTCAAATGTCTATTTAGCACATTTAATTAGTTGTAGTCTTCCATTCCTCAATTATCTCTGTTCTTTATTCTATTAGCAGTCATCACTTTAATGAATTTATTTAATACTAGCTGAACCGGCAGACTTCGTAGTGCCTCAATCGATAAATAAGAGACTTAAGCTTTTGTATAAAATAAACTTGAAACAAACACAACAAAATTATTATTTTTATTTAATTCAGAGCATTTTCATATTTATTAACCTTTTAGACCTTCTCTGGACTTCCACAAATAATTCAAGACCAAAATTAGCCAAATCAGTCCAGCCGTTTTCGAGTTTTACCGAGACTAACGAACAGCAATTCATTTTTATATATATAGAAGATATAGATATATAGATAATGTTAATTTAATATTACCATTAGAATTCTGTCTGTGACTACTATCACTAAGTAAAGTAACTTACTGGTGATAGGACCTCTTGTGAGTCCGCACGGGTAAGTACCTACCACCATCCTGCCTATTGCTGCCGTGAACCAGTAATACATTTCGGGTTGAAGGGTGGGGCAGCCGTTCTAACTATACTGAGACCTT